GTGGCCTCCCGGGTTGTGTACCGGCACGGGGGTGCTCGGGGTGGGAGGAGCCAGGATGCCTGGGTTCTTGTGGGGGTAGGGAGGAGGTGCCTGCACACCTGGGTCCTGACCCCTGCTTCCCCGCCAGGCCCGTGTCCATGGATGGGGACGTTGGGGGCCGCGGTGCAGCGTGCCCCGCCTGAGCTGCAGGAGGACGTGGCCACCTGCTCAGGTGAGGACCCAGGCATCAGAGACAACCCCTGCCCAGCCCCAGCCCTGGAGCACAACCAAGGCATCGGGGCTGTGACCCCTGACCCCACCCCTGTCCCACAGACACTGAGGAGGCCCCACCCCGCCTGCAGCTGCCTGGTGAGCCGCCAGATCCTGGGGGGATGTATCCTGCATGGGACTGATCCTGGGACAGGGGCCCTGAACTTGCTTGGAGGGGTGGGCTTAATCCTGGTAGGGGGGAACAGATCCTGGGCCTGGATGCTTTGACCGGAGTTGTGGTGGGCCCAATCCTGACCCCCCCCTTCCTCCACCCCCCAGCGGGCTCATTCCCCTATGAGCAGTTCTTTGCAGAGCGGCTGGCGGCAAAGCGCCAGGATCACTCATACCGTGTCTTCCGCACTGTCACGCGCCATGTGGACACACCTCCCCTGGCCCGCACTGACCATGGCACCGACGTGGCCATCTGGTGCAGCAACGACTACCTGGGCCTAAGCCGCCACCCGCAAGTGCTGCACGCTGCCACGTAAGTCCCTGTGTCCTGCCCCCTCCCCCCCCAGTGCTCCTCACTCCTGACCTGCGCGCCTCCCTCATGGTGCCCCTCACTCTCAACCTGCAGCCCTTCCCTGAGCCCCCCTCACTTCTGGCCCGTAGCCTGATGGTATCCCTCACTCCCAACCTGCAGTCCCTCACATCCTGTCTTCCCCCTCGCAGGGAGGCCCTCCAGGCTCATGGCCTTGGGGCCGGGGGGACACGGAACATCTCAGGCACCAGCTGGTTCCATGTGGCACTGGAGCTGGCACTGGCCAAGCTTCACCGCACTGATGCTGCCCTGGTCTTCTCCTCCTGCTTCGTGGCCAACGACGCCACCCTTAGCACCCTGGCCAGCTTGCTGCCAGGTACCCAGATGCCTAGGTTCTGTCTTGGCAGGGGAGCTAGAGAGGCCCAGACACCTGGGTTCGCTTCCTTGAGAGGGTGCTGGAACATGGTGCCCAGATGCCTGGGTTCCCTCCCTGACTTGGGGTGGGGTGGGGTGGGTTGGGAGGGGGGCAGGGTTGGGGTCCTCGACGGCCCCAGATACCTGGGTTCCCTCCCTGGGTAGGAGAGGGCCCCAGATGCCTGGGTTCCCCCCTCAGTGTGGGGTTGCGAGCCCGGAAACCTGGGTTCTCATGCATCTCTGAGAAGGGGGACTAGGATGTGGAACTGGGTGTTTGGACACCTGGATTCTGTCCCCACTCAGGAAGGGGGTCTGGGTGGTTTGGGAGCCCAGACACCTGGATTCCACAGTTTTGGCAGCCTGCCCCCTGCCCCCCCACCTCCAGGCTGTGAGGTATTCTCGGACGCGGGGAATCATGCATCCATGATCCAGGGCATCAGACGCAGCGGGGCACCACGCCACATCTTCCGCCACAATGACCCAGTGCACCTGGACGAGCTGCTGCGGCACACAGAGCCCAGCACCCCCAAGATTGTGGCCTTCGAGACTGTGCACTCCATGGATGGTATTGCTGGGTGGAGGCTGCGGGTCAGGAGGGAAGGCCACCATGAAGAGGGGGCTGCAGGTTGGGAATGAAGGGTACCTATCTTGAGGGGGGCTGCGGATTGGGATTGAGGAGTGCCGCAGGGCTATAGGAAGGGTTGCAGGTTGGGAGTGAGGGGACCTCTGACCCCCCTTCTGCCCCCAGGCTCAATCTGCCCTCTGGGGGAGCTGCTGGAGGTGGCACGGGCACATGGGGCACTGACGTTTGCAGACGAGGTCCATGCCGTGGGGCTCTATGGGTCACGGGGTGGCGGCATCGCTGAGCGTGATGGTCTCCAGCACCAGCTCGACATTGTCTCTGGCACCCTCGGTGAGCCCAGGCACCTGGATCCCCCCCAGGGACGGGGAGCCTGGACATCAGGGTTCCCTGTTCTAACCCCCACCATGCCAGGGGAGTTGGAGTGGTGGTCTGGGCCCCAGGGGCCTGGGTTTTTCTGCTGAGTCTGGGGCTTCCTAGATGCCTGGGCTCTTCCCCTGACTCTGGGAAGGCTGCAGGCTCTGGGATGGGCCCAGGGCTCCTGGATACCTGGGTTCCAGATTTCTAACCCCCTGTCCCTCCCCTCTGCACCAGGCAAGGCGGTGGGTGCAGTGGGAGGGTACATCGCAGGGCCACAAATGTTGGTGGATGCAGTGCGCAGCCTGGCACCAGGGCTGATCTTTACCACAGCGCTGCCCCCTGCAGTGCTGGCTGGGGCACTGGCAGCGCTGGCCGTGCTGGCAGGGACTGAGGGCAGGGCGCTGCGCCGTGCCCACCAGCGCCACGCTGCCATGCTGCGCCGCTGCCTGCGTGATGCCCGCCTGCCTGCCCTGCCCAGCCAAAGCCACATTGTGCCTCTGCGTGTGAGTCTGGGTCTTGGGATGGGGTGGGGGGGATCAGGGGTGAGGATCATGGGAATGGGGGACTGGACATGGGGAAGAGGACTCCTGGGTTCCCTGGGGATTGGGGTGGGGCAGGACCCCTGAATTCTGGGGGGGCAGGGTCGGGACCCTGGAGGGGGGGGCAGAGAACACCCAAATTCCCTGGAGGGGGAATGGGGAGGCAGGACCCCTGTGTTCCCTGGGTGTGGGTCCCAGGACAGAGGACACCTGCGTTCCTTTGGGATTTGGAGGGAAGGTGCTGGGAGTCCCTGAGAATGAGGTGGGGCATGACATGGGGATTCTCTCCGCACAGGGTTTGGGAGTGGGAGCTTAGAATGGTTGTGGCAGGGGTAGCCGGTGTGCACAAGCATGTGCGTCTCAGACCTCATGTGTGTGTGGTTGAGTTTTTGTGTCCAGGCAACACAACAGTGAGTGTGTGCGTGTATGTGTGTGCAGACATGTGCTGTAATTACTCCCATATAAGACCAGCTCCTCTTGATAGTTAGATTCTACTGTATTTACTCAAATATAAGATGACCCAGATACAAGACAATGCTCATAATTAGAGGCTACCCTATTCACTCCAATATAAGATGACCCCCCATAATTAGATCCCACATATGGAAAAAAGTAAAACTGTGTTAAGATTTCCTAGGCACAGACTCTCAGTGTTGGAGGTTTGCCTCAACTTTGTCCCTCTCCCCCTGCAGGGGCACTAAACCTATGTGGGGAGGTGTGCCCCTTGCCTCCCCCTTTCCTGTCAGACCCTCCTCTCCTGGGCAGATTTGGAAACCTGGCCTTGGAAACAACCATGCCTCCAGTAATTGTGAACAGGAAAATGAATGTGGTTGCATAATCGGCCTGAATGGATGCATTTGACCTTATCTGGCAGTCTGCGAGGGCCAGTGCAGATCCTCCCTCCTCCACGCAGTACAGCAGCACCCTCTTTGCACCTGCTTCACATGAAGCACAGATGCTGCAGGAAAAGCCTGAAATCGAAAGGCTTATGGTTGCCCATACATGGGTGGTTGTGGGGTATCAGCCACAGTCCTGGCCATAGTGATGCCATAGCACAGCTGTGCTCCATACCTGTGGGCACATCTACATGCACAATTAATGTGGACCAGTAACCTTCAGTTCTTTTTGCTCCAGGGTTCACTGCTTTAATTTGCTCTGGAGTTGATTTGTGCACAGCAGGTGGAGCCCGGTTGGAGCAGGCTGGGTGGGCAGGGATCCAGGGGAGCAGCTCTATGTGCTGGGGGCTTGAATGGGCCATGGGGTACCTCAGTGCAGGGCTAGCTGGCAGGTAGCTCCTGCACTGAGGCACACTGCACTCCAGCCAGCCAAAGAGCCCAGGGCTGCTCCCCCAGCAATTTGTGCTGGGGAGCAGCTGTCTGTATGGTGCACCCATGCAAGGGCTGTCTGCCAGCTAGTCCCATACTGAGATACCATGCCCCAGACAGCTGAGGCAGCGTCTACATATGAATTTTTCCCAAAAAAAAAACTTGGCCCCAGGACAGTACTTCTGTTCAAAAGTCCTTCCCTGCTGCAGGGGTTCATTAGTTCCATGTGCCCAGGTAGGGGTGCACCTGCAGACACTGAGATGTTTATTGCACAGCTGATTGGTTAACTGTGCAGTAAGCAGCTCATGTAGACGTACCCAACCCTGTTGGTTCCCCCCAACCTACCCTCTGCCCCCTACATGACTAGAACTGGGTGTTCTTGGCCTGAGTCCTGCAGGCCTCCAACATTTCACATGCAGCTGAAGTGCTGGGCATCCTGGCCCAGCACCAGGGCCTGGCAGCTGGGGCCACACTAATGCAGGTTGGGAGAAGGAAGGGGCCACCAGGAGGCTGCTGGTTGGCCTGTTGGGTGAGGCCTGCCAGGCTAGTGAAGGATCAGGGCCTGCTGGGGAGCTGTGGGAGTGAAGAGGATGTTAAATGCTCCTGTATGGTGCTGCCTGGGTAACACCCAGCCATTGGAGGCCCTGCTCTACTGCATCCCCTGGAGGTGGGGGGCAGGTAGGGAGGCTTGCTTGCCTGCCTACATGCATCTGAGAAAGAGAGAAACCTCCAACTCCTGCATCCCTGGTACAGGTGGGGGAGGCAGCGGCCTGCACCCGGGTGAGCGAGCGGCTCCTGACCCATGATGGCATCTACATTCAGGCCATCAACTACCCCACGGTGCCGCGCGGCCATGAGCTGCTGCGCCTGGCACCCACCCCACATCACACCCCACCCATGATTGAGCACTTAGTTGGTGAGTGGGCAGGTGGAGCTTGGGGCAGGGGTTTGGGCCTGGGAGCAGGGTGTGGGGCTAATCATCCAAGGGAGCAGAGCTGCAGGGAGGGGAGGGGGTGCTTATGGGGTGCTACCAAGGAGCTGAATGGTGCATCTGGGTAGGAGGTGGGACAGCAGTCAGAGGGGCATAGCCAGGGACACAAGCAGCGGGTGGGGGCTGGACATTGTCAAGGGATAACACAGGAGCAGAAGGGGACATGGCCTGCCTTGGATCTAGGGGAAGGAGAGCAGGAGCCATTGGTGGAGGGGCAGGGCCAGGCTTAGGGATGTGGCCTCAAAGCCAAGGGGAAGAGGCATGGCTACAGAATTAGGCTTAAGACATCAAGGGAGGGATGTGGGCAGGGCATAAGGTCAGAGGGGGTGGGGCTAGGGCTGTGACCACTCCCACTGATTCCATGCTTCCTCCAGAGTGCTTGTCCCGGGCGTGGGAGGCAGAAGGGCTGCCACTGATGCCTCCAGGAGACCCGACCTGTGGCTTCTGCCAGCGCCCTCTGCATCTGGAGCTGCTCAGTCAGTGGGAGCGCGACTGCTTTGGGACCCTGTCTGTGCCCCTTTGCGCCTGATGGATGGATGGATGCATGGACCCACCCTCCATCCAGGACAGGGGACCCATGGGACAGCAATAAACATGTGGCACCCTGGCCCCAGCTCTGTCCCTGTGGGCTGGACCCAGGCATCTGGAGACAGTCCCCCCAACTCCACAGCCCTAGCTGCAGGGGTCTAGCAAGGCCAGCCCCCACCCAGCCCCTGTCCATCACCCGTCAGAGCCAGGAGAGAACCCAGTGGTATCTAGGAAGGAACAGTCCGTCCCACCCCCAGCCCGTGGGCTGGGAAAGAACCCTGGCTGCAGGGGAGACCACTGATTCAACCAGGCTCTTATTGGGGCTGAGCCACAAGAAGAAGCTGGGGGCCAGGGGGACAGCCTACCTCATCCCCCACCCCCCACAGAGTCTGGAGAGAGAACCCAAGTGTCACAGCCTTGTGGAGGTTTAAGTCCCACACCAGGTCTTTTCATATCTTTATTTATCAAAAATAGAGGCCAGTTTGGGGTTAAAAGAGAGCAAAATAAACTAGGGGGGGGATGGGCCAGGTTGTTACACTTTCAACCAGCTGTGGCCCAGGAGTCCAGACAACTAATGCCCCACTCCCACTAGCTGACCCTCCCCTCCCACAGAACCCAAGTGTCCAGGGCAGTCAGAGTGGGGCCTGTAGGTGGGGCCCAAGCCTGTGTCTGGGCTGGTGCAGCATGGCAGGGTACCTGACCCAGGGGCCCATGGGTACTACCCATCACCAAGGCACTATGCTCCAGTGCCTCTGGGGATAGGCTGTGCCCCATGGCACTGTGGGTGGGCCCCATCACTATAGGGCAAGTGTCTTTTGGGAGGGTGCTTGCCTGTGTTGCCCCACCCTCTACCTTGAAGTATATCCGCAGGTCCCTCGGGCCCAGTGAATGCTGGGTTGTCATTTGTCCACGTGACCCCTTGGCATGTTGGGCTATTCCCTGTCCATGCTTTCCTAGGGCATGGCTCCTGGTTGTTTTGCTCCAGCCCAGTCTGCGCAACTTCCATCTCCTTCAGGCTCTGCACTGTTGCATCGTGTAGTGGCTCCTGCTGTTTCTGCCCCAGTGCATATGGGGACAGCTTTTCTCCACACTCCCCCAGTGCATCCGGGGATGGCCCCTTCACCTTGAAGTACCTCCGCAGGTCCCCCATCTGTGGCAGGTGGGTTGGTGCTAGCCTCTTCCTGGCTCCACTGGGGCCGGGAAGTGGGGCAGGGGGTCCCCGGGGTGCCAAGAAGGGGCGGAGACTCAGCTGGGTGCGGCGGGTAGCCAGGGCAGGGGGGTGGGGGGCAGGCACAAATGCACCACCAAGCTGAGCCAACACTGGGCAGTGGTCGGAGCCCAGCACTGAGGGCAGCAGGGAGGCACCAGCCAGTGCCCCCAGTGCCAGTACGCGGTCTGCCAGGATGTAGTCCAGCCGTGTGCCCTGATTGGCTGCCCGCACCCCTAGCCCTGTGCCCCCTCGCCAGCAGCTGAAGGCCTGGCGCTGCCCTGGGTGCCGCAACCGGAAGGTGTCCACGAAGAGACCCCCACTCCCATCTCCCGACAGCAGCTCGTCCAGCCAGCACCGTGCTGGGTTGGCTGCAAATGCTTCCTGTTGGGGGAGGGGGGGCAGGGTGAGGGACCCAAGTGTCCAGACTCCCAGATCCTCCCTTCTGTCCTTGGTACTCCCATCCAGGAGGGGGGTACAGAACCCAGACATCCGGGCTCCCAGCCCCCACCTTCTTCCTACAGCTAAGAAAGGACCCAGGGGTCCTGGCTCCCAACTCCACCCCCAGCAAGTATGCTAACTCCTTACCTTCCCTCCCCCAGCCTGGATGGAAACCCAGGCACCAGGTTCCCAATCCCCTGCCCCTCTTATCAGGTTCCTCCAGCACTCACAGGGTCTCCAGGCTGGCAGTGGTCAATGGGCCGATGCGCTATGTTCAGGTCCCCCATGATCACCACGTGGCTGGCAGAGGCAAAGAGGTGGGCAGAGTCAGACTAGGAGGGGGTGGAGTCAGAATAGGAGAGGTGGGGCATCAGAACTAGGGGTGGGGGCCAAAGCCAAAAAGGCAGAATCAAGAGCTGGGGGCAGAGTCTGGGCCCAAGGGAGGTGGGGTGGGGGAAGGATACATTTGGGGAACCTGGACCACCCCTAAACCTAGGAAGGGAGTTGGGGGGAGGGAGTGCTGGGACCTCGGATGCCTGGGTTCTCACTAGGTTCACGAGGCAGCGGAGGCTTGTTGGGTTGGGGGCAAGGCTCTTGGATGCCTCGGTCCCTCACAGCTCTTGGAGGAGGATCTGGGTTTTGGGGGGGAAAGGTGGGGAAAGAGACCCCCAGACACCTTGGTCTCCACAGTGCCTCTGCAGCCTGTGATGTCTTCACGATGGGGACAGGGGTGCAGGTTGGGGGGAGGGGGATCTTGGGGGCCTAGATGAGATGTGAAGGGTGGGGGAGTGGGGGTCTCAAGCATTGTGGGCTACAGAGAGCACCTATGAGGGTCAAAGGGATCCAGAGGGGGTGGGGGCAGGACTGAAGCCATGGGAGGGTATCTGAGGAGGGGGGCAAAGGGCACCTGTGAGCTCTTGGGAGAGCAGGGCTGAGGGTATGAGGAGGGTGGATGGGATGTGTGTGTTTGGGCAGGGTTTCAGGGGCTGGCACGGGTCAAAGGGCTCCTGGGGGCAGTGTCTGGAGGGGGCACAGGAGCACATGGACAGGATGTGTGGTGGGGTGGGCAGTCTCAGGCTGGGAGGGTCAAAGGCCACTGAAGGGAGGCCTGAGGGGGGCAGTACCTGCCATGGTGCAGCAGGCTGAGGGCACGGTTGCGCAGCAGCTGCAGGAAGCGGTGCTGGGGTACAGGGTGCAGTGGTTGCCGGGGGCCAACGTGGGGGCAGTAGACGTTCAGTACCGTCAGCATAGTCTCTGCCCCCCATGGCATCCTGGGGAGGCAGCAACAGAGGAATGGGGGGGTTCAGGCTCCTTGCCCCGCTCTATCTAGGCCCTGCCCCCAGCTCAAGGTCTTGCCCACGCAGCCCCGACTCCACACCCTGAGCACCCAGGCCCTGCCCCTCCCCTCCCCACTCATTTCCCACCTCATTTCCCCTCCACACTCATTTCCCATCATCCTGAGCACCCAGGCCCCAACCCTCCCCACCTCAACTTTGCTGCTAGCTCATTGCCCAATGCCCCATTGCCCAGGCTCCACCCCCAGAACCCAGTCCCCTGCCAGGGGCCAAGACACTGCTCTCAGCCCACTGCCCTGCCCCCAAAGTTTTGATGCTACAGCCATAGCTCATTTTCCCTACCCAGGGCTTAGACTCCATCCATAGCACTTCAAGGCCAAGGGTCCATCCTCCAGCTATATGTCCATAGACCAAGCCCCACCCCCAGACCCATGGTGCACCCACCCAAGCTCTGCCCTCACCGGATGCGGTGGTGGGTGACCAAGGCACGTCCCTCGCTGTCCAGCACTGCCAGTTCCTCAGGGCTGAAGCTGCCACTGTCCACGTAGCTGCCCATGGCGCCCGGCGCAGCCAGCAGCCCTGAGAGCCCTTCCTCTGCTGCCTCAGGTGTGGCCTCCGCCCGACAGAATGTTGCTACCCCTGTGGGCAGGGGAACCCAGGTGTCCTGGTCAGCACCCAGCTCATGGACACCTGGGTTCTCTGTGAGGGGAGGGTGGCAGGTAAAAGCAGGGTGGGGTGGGAGGCCAGCGGCTTGTGTTCTTTAGGAGGGGAGGGAGCCAGGATTCCTGGGTTCTCTTCCCACTCTGGAAAAGCAGAGTTGGAGGTGGGGTAGGCACAGTCCCCGCACACCTGGGTCCCTCACCAGAGTAACCCAAGCGGGTGCGGCAGCAGCTGAAGTAAGAGGTGTAGCCCTCCACCTGCGTCAGGGAATCGTCCAGTTGGTCTCCTGGGGAAGAGACATCAGTCCTGTTCCACCTCTGACCATTGACTCCTGCTTCATAACCCCCCACCCTCCTAGGAGATCACTGTCTACCCCCCACCCCCTCGTTGACCCCAGATGGTACCTCATCTTTGACCCCCATAAGCCTCTCCTATAACCCGCCCCCCGGTCATTGCCCCTCACCCTCTGCATCCCTGGCCTAAGGCCTTTGCCCGCTGACCCCTTGTCTTCACCCCCATACCCCGCCTTCTTTACGCCCTTTGCTCCGCGGGACGTACTGGTCAGGCGTGTCTCCTGCAGGCAGACCACGTGAGCGTCCAGCGCTGCCAGAATCTGGGCCGGCCCGGGGCCCGCGCGTAGCCCGTTAACGTTCCAGGTAGCAAGCCGCCCCCCCGCCGGCCGAGCGGGCCCACGACGTCACTTCCCTCCCGCCGGACCGGAAGAGCCCGCGTGAAGCTAGGCCTGTCCCTTTTGAACGCCGGGCTCCCGCCCGAGCCCTGTCCCCTCGGAATAATCACACACCACTCGCGGTCCCGTCTGCTCCGTTTACTCAAGCAGCCCCTCCTTCTAGCGTCCGCTCGTTGCGGGGAATCCTCAGGGCGCCTGGGGGGCCTTGCTCTTGCCCTTGGCTCCGAGGCTGCCCCGCGACAGCGACTTGACCAGCGCCAGCAGCCGGCTCGGCCGACGGCCCCGGGACGATTTACTGCGGGCCGCGCCGCGGGGGCGGGGCCTAAAGCGAGACAAAGGCTCTAAGCCGCGTCCACCAGCCTAAGCCTCTCCCACTCCCCACGACTCAGCCTCGCCCCCCACGGAGCCCCTAGCCCCACCCAGTGCCTCTAAAGCCCCCCCACGATCCCAAAGCACCGCCGATAGTGCTCGAAACCCCGCCCACCACCTCCCAGGACTACCTGGCCCTTTCACCACCCTTCTAAGCCCCGCCCACTACCTCAAGGCAGTTCTAAGCCCCACCCACTGCCTCTAAACCTCTCAACCCCAAAATCCCATGCCACAGCCCCACCCCACCCACCGCATTTACGGCCCTTCCTCTACTCGTGCCCTCCTCCTCCTCAGACCCACACTCCTTATCTAACTCCCTCCCTCCCTCCAAACCCCTCCCACTGCCTCAGTGCCAAATCTAAGCCCCACCTATGCTGCCTAAGCCCCGCCCACCACCTCAGCCCCTTGCCTAAACCTCTCCCCTCATCTTGGTCCCGATTGTAAGCCTCTCCTACCACACCTAAGCCCCTGCATCCCCTCTCAGCCCCGCCCCCAAGCCCGCCCCCTCCTCACCGGGCAGCCTCGCTCCTGCTCCCCGGGGGGCTGCGGCCCCGGGCCTGGCCCTGGCTCTGCTCGCGGGGCAGTGGGTCGGGCACTGAGTGGGGGCTGGGGTTGCCATTGCTGCTTAGGTCCCCGGGACTGGGGGTTTGCACACTGCGGATGCTCACGGCTGCCGGGTCCACCTCGTGTGGGGGCACTGATGCCAGGCTCTGTGGGGGCGGGGGGGAAGTGCCAGGGGCACAGAGTTTAGGCATCCCGGCTCCCAGCTCCCCCTGTTGCAACCCCTCAGCGCCTGCCTTTCCAGAGGCCCCAGCCCCCAATCTCCTTCCAAGGAGGAACCCATGCATCCAGGTCTCCCGCTATTGCAACCCACCAGAAGAACCTTGTTTCCCAGAACTGGGAGAGAACCCAGGGGTCCCAGCCCCCCCACCCCCGCCCCACCCAGGAGGGAACCCAGGTGTCCATCTCACCCCGACAGCATCCTGACTGGGTTCGGGGGCTAGGGGCGGCAGCTCTGTAGGGCCGGACTCAGCTGGGGGCAGCAGCAGGTGGATGAGTTGGACCCAGAGGGCAAATAGGCGCCGGGTGGCAGCAGCGTCCGAGGGGGAACAGAGCTGCAGGTAGAAGGAGCGGCCGCTGGCCAGGCGCAGCCGCAACTGCTGGGTCCCCTCGTCGTGGACCGACAGTTTCACGAAGCGCAGGGGCAGCAGCCTAACGGATGGGGCAGGAGTGAGGGGCACTATGGAGGCTGGGGAGGTGCACGTCGGTGGTGGTGGGGGGAATCTCACCTGGTCAGCTCCAGAGTCCGGGGGGCAGGCCCGGCACAGGCATGGGGGGCGGGGCTGTCAGAGGGCAGCACAGGGCGGGCCACCAGCAGCACGTTGGGCACCAGAAGGGCGGGGCTAGTAGAGGCCACGCCAACTGTCACCATCCGCACCCGGTTGTGCACGTCGACCACCTGCCCCCGGCGGCTGATCTGAGGGTGTGAGGGGGTGGTGTGTGCCATGGGGGGCAGGGCCTTAGGACAAAGCCGGGCCAAGAAGCCAGGGCCCCGCCTCTGACTACACCCCAGGCCTAGCTCCGCCCCCAAGGCTTTTTATCTAGCCCGCCTGCTGTGACCCACTCCCTTGGCCTCTCTAGCCCCGCCCCTCCCCAAGTCTTGGTCTTCCTCTGACTACGCCCATGGCCCCACAGCTTTCTGCCTCTTCCCCTCTCCTCTAACCCAGCCCTCCTGGCTCCACCCCTCCTTTCCCAGCCCCTTGGTTCCTCCTCCTGCACTCCCAGCTGCACCCCAGCTCCCTCGCTGCATCCCTCCCCTCACAGCCTTGCCCCCAGCACCCTGGCTCCTCCCCCTCCACTCTGGCTCCCACCCCGTCCGGCTCCTTACTTTCAGCCAGTCCCTGCTCCCTTGACTCCACCCTTGGCTCCTTCCATTGCATCCTGGCCCTACTGCCCGCTATGGGCCCGCCTGTCCTTCTAGCTCTGCCTCTCCACTCCTGGCCCCGCCCCCACCTGGATGAAGTCGCTCTCGAAGAGCGGGGCGTAGCGGAAGGCCTCGTACTCGCCGGCTCGGAGCTGCTGCTGCAGGGGCCCTATCTCTGTGTTGAGCAGCCCCCGCGCCTGGTCCCCCTTGGCCGTGAAAAGCGGCAGCGCCGGCTCCTCCAGCATCGTCCCGGCCTGCGGGCACCTGGGCAACGGGGTCCCGGCCCTGCTAGGAGGGCAGGGGGAGGCAGGACGCCTGGGCTCCCTGGAGGAGCAGTAGGGCCGGGGGTGGGAGCAGGGAGACCTGGGAGGCGGGACGCCTGGGTTCCCTAACAGTACTAGCCCCCGCACCCAGCCCCTCCCCCAAAGTCCCTTCCGCGACGCTCCGCCCCTTTCCCCAAGGTCCGCCCACAGCCTCGCCCCGCTCTTGGACTTAGGTCCCACCTTCTTCTAACCCCCACTTTCTCCCCCACCTGCTTGGCCCCGCCCCTTCACTGGGGAGGGAGGGATCTCTTTAGATGAGAGTACGCCTCCTCCCCCGGGTGAAGTGGGGGGGCGGGGCGGCTTCCCCTCAGTGGCCCCTCCAGGGGGTTGCAGCCGACAGCGCCTGTTGCCCTCCTCGGGGGGACTCCCCCCTGGCCTGGTATGGAGGAGGGGAAGGCGAATTATGGCGTTTAAGCTTCCTTTATGACGTACAGGGGCTAGGAGGGGAAACCAGGGTGCGGCGCTCATAGTGAGGAAAACAAGATGCTCACGCTGGAGACTCCAACATAGCGTCGTGCAGTGAGGAATCTAATGTGGTAGCGATCCCAGTGTGGGACCAACATAAGCTAGATAAAGAGGCTCAGGGGAAGAAGGGGGCCTGGCCATATCTTTAGTCTGGGTCCTTCACCTACATTCATGCTCGACTAATCAAGACAACCCCACCACCAATTAGCCCTCCCCCCCCGACCAAGGAGCCCCACCCACTACCTCCAGGTATCCTCCCAGCCTCCCGCCCCAGGCTTTCCCCACCAAACCACCCCCAACGCCATTAGGTCCTGCCTCCTTCCCTCAAGCCCCTCCCTCCAATAGCCCTGTTCTTTCTCCTACCAACCCTGTCTAGCCTTCATTAAACTCTTAACACAACAGCTCCCCCATACCAAACCAGCCCTACCTCTATTAGGGAAGGGGGTAGAGCTAAACAAGCCCCACCTTCTGGCCTCAAGCCCCCTGCAGCAAAGCTCCAACTCCTCCCGAGCCGTGCCCCCCCCAAAAAGAAGACCGGGCTATGGCTCTTACCAAGATCATGTTTATTTTTTATTCTCCCCCCCCCCTTTTTTCCTCACATTTTCAGGGGGGTTTTGTCCTTTTGTGTGTCTGTTTTTCCTGGGCAGAGAAAGGGCAGTAGGCAGGGCCAAAAATGGGGAAGGGGTTAGTCTCCCTTCCCCCCAGAATCGGGTCATCTTTAACCCCTTCCCTGCCAAACCAAAAGAGCCAGCATATGCACCCCTCCCCCCCTTGTTTTTGAGGGTACAGAGGTCAAAGATATGGGGCTAGGGGTGAGGCCAAGGGGCAGGGCTTGCTCGGAGTCACGGCAACCACATTCCAAGCACAAAGTGTTTTTAAGAAAAAAAGGGCAGAACTAAACCAAAAAATATATATATATATATTTATATATAGCATTTGTCTCCTCTCTGCAGGCCCTGGGGGGTGGAGCTAGCAGCCAGTCCCCCTCCCTTGCCATAAAAGGAAGTGTAGGAGGAGCTTAAAAAGGGAAGCAGAAGGGTGGCCCCTTCCCCACCCACAAGCCACTCCCTGATCAAGCCACACCCCCTTCTCCCCACCCCCAACCAAGCTGCCTGCTCTTGGACAGTAGAAAAATAACCTGGAGAGGGAGAGAGGTGGGGTCAGGCAAGGCCCCACCCCCTGGGCAGCCAAGTCCCGCTCCCTGGGGGGGGGCCTGGGGGCAGAGTCAAGCCAGGCCAAAGCCCTCAGAGCACTCTTGGATGGCCAGCAGCAACATGTGTCGCAATTTCTCATAGCTCTCATAGGCCGGCAGGTCCAGCTGGTTGAAGCTGTGGAGGAGGAGGGGACAGTGAGAAGAAGGCAGAGTCTAAGGGTTATGCCTCCCCAGCACATAAAGCACAGATCCTCTCCTCCCCCCAAAGACCCTCCCCGCTAGTTTCAGTGCCCCCTCCTCACACCATGAAGTCCTGCCCCTTATACAGCAGCAGTGGCCTGATGCCTGGATTAGGTACACGTGTCCCAGATGATTGGGCTCTGCAAGTGTGCATATACGCATGCACACCTGGACACACAGGACACTGACACCCCCCGTGCATGTCTCTCTCTCTCTCCTGGATACCTGAGGGGGGAGGTGTGTGCATGAACCTCCCCAGCACCTGGGAGGGGGTGCTTGTACGTATCTGCCTGTCTCTCTTCCAGACACTGAGGGGGGTGGTGGTGGTGGGGCGGTTCTGGACACCTGGGTTTCCCCCACCCCATGCTGGGGCAGGCCTTACCAGGTGTGCGCAGAGGGCAGGCGGTCAGTGGAGCGGTCATCACGGTGGATCTGGAACTTCTGGATACCGTTCATACCCTCCAGGGCAGCAAAGCCTTGCAGTGGCACCTTGGACGTGCCCGTCACAAACTGCAGGAACTTGGCACGGTCAGCCTGATCAAATGAGCGCAGAGCTCGCCAAAACCACTGGATCTGTAAGGGGAAGGAGGGGAGTGAGACCTGGGGGACAGCCTGCTCTGGGAGGGGACAGTTCAGACTGGGAGAGTATACTAAGGAGAGGGCTGATGCAGCCAGCTCTGTGGTGGGGTGGGAATGGCTAGCACAGCCAA